AAAAAAAAATTAAAAAAAATTATGCCAAAATTCTTTCTAATCTTGTGAGTTTGGTTTTTTTAACTCATTCCTTCACTCTCTGAATGACTACACAGCTACTCTTACACTAAAAGGCAGTCATACAGTCACTTCAAACACCCTGCATTAATACACTGGTGGCTTGACACCTTGAACCACAGTTACTCTAATTTAGCATTAACCTGTAAAACTTAGTTGTCCACAGAAGATAATTCCTCGACTGTTTTCCATGTGGGTATAAGGTGCTCATTAAAGCCTTAAAACAGTAACAACAAAAACTGTGGAAAGTGATGTTAGGAATAGATCTGCATTTTACTCCTAAAAATAGTCAGTCTGAAAATCAGAGAAACATTCAGGCAGATTAAAAGCACATATTATGTAATGTAGAATTGGGAAGTATGAGTTGCAGAATAAATTCAAAACTTATGGACAGTGGCCAAGTGCAAGTTTTACCTACTTGTTTTTCTTTACCCTTATTGCCACTCACAACTTAGAAGTTAACAGTCCAACTAGCAATACCTGTGTCCTGTCTATGCTGACCTACCTAATCTAATAGCAAAAAGACGGGAAGGAAAATGAAAGCAACAGACCAAACATGCTTGTCATCAGGAGTATTTGGGGCATAAGAGCAAAAATTCAGGCAAGCTTTGGCTTTATTTCAAAATTCATAACCTTTATCACACAACAGCCAACTTTACTCCCCAAGGCTTATTCGTATTTTCTCCTGAACAATTTTTCTGTGCTATAGAAAAACTCCCTAATACAACTGGTAACTACATTCAATTTCAAATCACTTCTGCAGACACAAATTCAGTATGTGTGACATGATGCTTCTTAACCTTTCCTCTTCCTATTCCCACCATACTTAGATTTAATACGTAAAATTTAACAAAGCTACGTCATTTTTCACAAACACAATTTACTTATTGATCATATGCTTTTGTCAGCACACACCTCGTCTTTGCATGTAAAACTCTAAGACTTAAGGTGATAGGCAAACTAACACGGTGCACCACCAAACCAACTCCTATCGTTAGAAATTACCACAATACAAATGCTTAGTACTAGTAATCACACTGCAGCATTACAAACCAACAAAACTCCACCTGTATTCTAGCAAGTCAAGCAAAATAAAGTTATGGAAAGCCAAGAAATAAATAAGTATTTATTTGTTGCAGATTCTAAGCTGATAAAAAAAATATAGTGAATCTTGATGTACTATTAACTTGCACTGATTCTTGTTCACATTAAGATAATGAGACTAGGGGACATTACATCATCGGACTTCCTGGCTTATAGAAGACAGAAAAAAATGAGTAACATTCCACCAGCCTCTCCCATCTACACAAACACAATATTCAATAAGCAGAGATTCAAGGACTGCAGGTTGAAAGTCAATCTTTCAACAATCCGTCAGGTAACTCCCTAA